GCAGTGAGGCAAGCCGTGGTAAGAGACAGGGAGTAGTGGAAACTGTAGTGACCTAGACCAGGGGTCGGCAAACTTTTGAGATGGAAGAGCCACAAGGGGTCAGCAAACTGCGGCTCACGAGCCACATGTGGCTCTTTGGGTACGTACATGGGGCTCTGAAGTAAAATTGAAAATGAAAATAAAACTATCATAGTTTCATTTATAAAATTTTTAAAGGATATTATTCACATAATGGTGATTATGTAAAATATATTTATGGCTCTCGAATAATTTTTAAATTGTTGTGAGGGACAGGGTTGGCTCTTCCAGGGGTCGGCAAACTTTTGAGACGGAACATACCCAAAGAGCCACATGTGGCTCGTGAGCTGCAGTTTGCCGACCCCTGACCCAATGAATGACAAGCCTAATAACACTCAAAATTATTAAAAACATACTTTGCAGGCAAAAAAGACACATTATTAAAAATACTTTTGAATTGGATCACTTGTTTTTTATTGTTCAGTTATATGAGTCCTTTATCAAAGAATCCAATTAAAAAATAGGCAGAGGACCTGAACAGACACTTCCCCCAAGAAGACATACAAATGGCCAACGGATATATGAAAAGATGTTAAACTTCACTAGCTATTACAGAAATGCAAATCAAAACCACAATGAAATACAGCCTCACACCTATTAGAAGGGCTATTATCAATAAGACAAGGAATAACAAGTGTTGGAGAGGTTGTAAGGTGGGGGGGCGGGTTGGGGAGGGAGGAAGAAATTTTCATGCTCTGCTGATGGAACTATAAATTTGTATAGCCACCATGGAAAATAGTATGGAGGTTCCTCAAAAAATTAAGAATAGAATTACCAAATGAACTAGCAATCCCTCTTCTAGCTATCTACCCCCTAAATTTGGAAACATTTATTTTCAAAGGTATTTGTACGCCTATGTTCACTGCAGCACTATTCACAGTAGCCAAGACATGGAAACAACTGAAGTGTCCTTTGATAGACGATTGGATAAAGAAGATGTGATACATATACACAATGGAATACTACTCAGCTAAAAGAAAAGATGAAATACTGCCATTTGCGACAACAGGGACGGATCTCAAGATTGTTATGCTCAGCTAAATAAGTCAGATAGAAAAAGTTGAGAACCATATGACTTCACTCACTTGTGGAATATAAAACTGAAAGCAACAAATAAACAAGACAAACAAACAAAAACTCATAGACACAGACAACAGTGTAGTGGTTACCAGAGGGAAAGTGGGCAGGGGGAGGTAGAAAATGGTAAAGGGGGTCAAATACATGGTGACCAAAGGAGGTTTGACTTAGGGTGTTGAACACACAATGAAATATATGGATGCTGTAGTATAGAATTGTATACTTGAAACCTATATAATTTTACCCCAATAAATGTAATATAAAAATACTTTTTAAGCAAAATAAAACATGATTAAGCAAGCAAAGCCCATAGACCATCAATATGCAACAATGAGCTGGAGGAAAAGTGGGAAGTAGGCTGGGAATGAGAAAAATCAACAGAGCATGGTGTCTTATAAGTCCAAGAAGAGTTATACCTTGTATTTCCATGAACTAAACAAAGAAGGAATATAGTATTATATTAGACAGTAACCCAAATGTTCTAGTATTAACCACCACAACAACAGAGATGCACATTCTTTGTTACAGAGTTTGCATAACCTAAAAATGGTAGTAATGATCAAACGAGCCAGATTTGTAAAGTCATGGAACCATGTGGGCCATCCAAGGATGGGATGTAGAAGTCCTTCTGAAATATGGCCATCCACTGTGTGCTTGCATGTATCCAGGGATGGGAAGCTCCCCTTCCCCACTTCTCCCCAAGGCACTACAAGTGTTCAGAAGTTTCTATCAATTTGACCTGTTATTATGTGGAGCTGATATCTGCCTCTTTGTAGCCTCCAAGTCCCAGATCTTCCCCCAGAGCCACACAGAACATTTCCTACCTGTCAGCCCTTTAGATGTTTAGAAACAGTGACCCTGCCTCTGTCTTCCCCCTACAAGTCTTTCTTTCTGCAGACAAAACATCTCTACCTTCAATTCTCTCCAGCTCACTATTTCCAGACTCCACCACCCCAATCACCTTTCTGTGAACCTTCTCTAATTTGTCACTATCACTCTTAAACAGTGCCCAGGGAGAACACAACATTCCTAGCTAATTTACAATCCTGGGCTTCTTTAGGCATCATTTTCTATTTCTGCAGCAGTAGGAATACAATTACACTTTATCGAGCTCAGTCTCCTGCTGTCCCCATTCGCTGCTCCCATCCTCCAAGGCAGTCTGTTGGTTGTATTTCATGGACAGATGCATAATTTAGAGTGAGTGCTCCCTTCAGTATAAGAAATGCTGTCCGTCATCACTCCATCATTTCTGATTAAGATCGCTCAGTCTGATCTTGTACCAGTAATGCCTGTGTAGTGCTTCATGCTTCTCGTGCCACTTTCCAGACATTATCTTATTATGTACTCAAGCTGGAGAAGAATTTTCATACGAAGAGGAAGATGAATCCAAGAATTTGTGGTTTAAGGCAAAGGGAAAATTGGAAACCTGACCCTTGGAAAGAGAGCTGAATGGGAGCATCCAAAAATCTGGCTTCACATCTAGGTTCTCCACTTATCCATCCTTGCTAGTTTTGGTTTGTTTTTAAACAAAATTAATAATATTAAAAAGAATAGAAACAGCTACCTATTGATAAAGGCTTAGTATGTACCAAGTCCATACAGCATGTCATATATTACACATCACAAACTTTGAAGTGCATGTATTATTTCCTCTTTAGAGATCAGGGAATTTAACCACAGAGGTGAAGTGATTTGCTCAATGTCACACAATCAGTAGGTGTCACTGGGATTTGCACCTAATTCTGACTGTCTTCAAAGTTCAATCTTTTCATACTCTTATACTACAATCTGGGTACTATCTATACATCATATGATATACCAGTTGGTTGAAACAAAATGAAACAAAACCAAACCTCTCACAGTAATTATTTCTCCAGAGATGCTTCTCCGACTACATAGGAGGTAGAAACATGTGTTGCCTCATCTGTGGGGCTAGGGAGCATGCACACCGGGCACAAGAGTAAGGGAGGAGAGAATGGTCATGTACCAATCTCAGTGTCAGACATCGTGTCTTAAACTGGGAAAAAATGATGCCCTGTGGCTTCAATCACAAGTACATTTTGAATATAAACAAGATTTCAAGGTGACAGTTCAGCCCCCAAAAAACAGTGTTTTCAAGCTCTTTTAATACCACTTTAGCAGTATTCGCTTGTATACAAATCAGGTACTAGCTTATTCATTAAAATAGACTGTACTTGGCAACATTTTATTAACCTTAGTTTATGCTCATAAGATCATTAATTGTATTTTTTAAATGCATCTCTTCATAATTACTCCATAATTCTGATTTTCTTCCCATTTGATCTAAGTGCAAATAACATTCCACATCCAATGAAAATGAGTGTGATTTATAACACTATAAGATATGACTTTAGGAAACCCCAAATTTGGGAGAGAGGCTATTCCCATACCTAGCCATGCATCAGAATCTCCTGAAAACTTTCTTAGGGCCACATAATTACTGATTACTCAGAGCAATCTACTGGATCAGAATCTCTAGAGCTGGGATCTCAGGGAATGTAGATTTGCAACAATTGGTCCACTGACCAGCACTTAGGGACCAATGACTAGAGCATTCCCACCCTACACAAGTCTATTTCATCTCTTGGAAAACACAGGAATCACAGATAGTAAGTGATGTCCCAAAAGCATAATAACCAATCATCTCAAAGGATCCAGTGAGTCCCAAAAAAATTAATTATAAGTCTCAGTACTTATTGCTGACCTCTGCGTCTTTATTTTCAGGGTCTAGGTAGCCATTTTAATGCCCAGTTACTGCAAAGCAACCTTTAAAATACCAAATAATAAAAATAATAGTAATAATAATGATGCATAGGTTCTAGCTGACCCATGTAAACTAGGTGGGGATAATGGAACTTTACCTGGTAAAGCCACATGATAAATGACCAAAGTAAAAAAGGCACTTTAGAAAACATTCTCAAAGGGTTAGAACAGGAGTGTTAAATAGATGGCTAAATTACCACTTCCCGTTTGATACCTGTGGCAGACATTGCTAGTCAAGCACAGCACCTCTCCTTGTTGCACCCACAAATAGCCGCAAAGTCCTTTTCAACCAAGCACTCCAGGGTGCCACAGTCATCTGATCCACTCTTACATGTCTTACTCTTTACTGGCTAAAATAAATAGTTAAACTGAAATTATCTCATATTTTATACCAGCCTGATTCATCACAGGCTATATGCTCCACACAGAACAGACAACTGAAGGTTCTTATGTAGATGATGCCTTATGGACAGATCACCTAGTTCTTGCTGATTGACCTTCGTAGTGGCTTCACATTTACATCTTTGAATGGAAGTATCTAGAAATCAGTTAACTGCTAAAATGCTGATAATATATGGGTTATACTCACATCATTCAAACCAACCTAGTTTTTACTGGTGACCATTAAAAGTCTGACTTTGAATAAATGCTATTTAGAGAGACAGCTGAGTTCCAAAGTATTTTAAAAATCAAATATAGTATTTGACTAAAATAATCACATATCAATTCATTTAATGTCTATTGGTCATTCTGTAGATTTTCTCCTATGGAAACTGTGGGTCATGTCTCCATGCAAACATTTGGTGTCCTGGTAAATGACAGGCAGAAATCACAAGGACATTTAATTTCTGCCCAGTTTCATTTGAAAAAGAAAATCATTATAAATTCGTTTGTCTTCAGTTCTCATAATGGCTATTCTGGGCTACTTCACCTCTACTGCCACTCCCCAAGTTACATTGGATGGACTTCCATTTAAGACCATATCAATGGCAATACCTAGTTATTTGGGTATATTTCATCACACAGTGACCAAACAATAAGATCAGAGAGAGTAGACCCACCTCATCATAGATGCTGTCATTCCTGTGAAAGTCTCCAGCCTTTCTGGGAAGAACATGAACATGGACGTGCTGAAAATGTACAAGAAAGAAAAAAAAATTAATGTGATTATCTCCCCATATAGTTTCTACTTGACATTGATCTCTCATGAAGCCCAATTACTCCACATTGGTTCCTGCTGGATTATTTTTTCAGAGGAAGATGCCATTCACCTTCAGTAACTATATCTGAAATCTGTGGAGAATAGAAGCACAAAACAAGAGAGAACAACTTGGTTGCATATATGAGAGTTTAAGTGAAAAGCCAGAGTGTTTCAGGGGCTCTGTGGAATTATTCATAGTTGTCAGTCTTGGTTGTATTTAGCCAGTCCTTTGAAATGACAGCACGTCTTAAAATGTGACCACAGTGACTCTGAAACTGACAAGAAATAAGAATTGGCTAACAGGAGAACTGCATAAGTAAAGAGCAAATGAAGGAGAGTATGACGGAGTATGGGCCACGTTACAGAATAAGGGTTTCAAATAAAAATCATATAATAATAATAATAATATAAATCATTCTCATTTATTAAACTTTTAATTATTATGATAAGAAAGCTCTGTGCTTGGCATTTACCTCATTCAGTGCTTTGAATAATCCCGTGAAGCAAATTCTACTATGATCTCCATTTTACTGCTGAGGAAGTCCAGGCTCAGAGAGGTCAAGGCCTTACAGGAAGTGGTAGAGTCAGCACAGGAAGCCCCCACTGGTTCTTGCCCCCAACTTTCTCATCAGCACATACACTGATTCTGTGATGTTAATCTTTTAAACAGCCCAGTTCTTTAGTCTACGAAAGTGCCCAGGTAATACATAGCAATGCTATTATGCAGAGATTGTGAATCAAGGCGCACAGCATATCTAATTCAATATATTCTTCAAGGCTAAACTGCCATTTGAAAGTTTTACTTTCTGAATATCCTCTATTGTTCCTCGGCTGAAGTTCAACTTGTTCCTGCCCTTGAGCTATATCCCTGCATTTATTACAAACCATAGGGAGGAATGTGAAAATGAAAAGCCTACACGTGAAGAGGCAGACAAAGAACCGAACCTTGTCCCGGATCACGCCCACCCCTTCTTGATTACATGATCAGGCTCAAAGCCTCCAAAGGACCTCCGGAGAATGTGAGATTAAGTGTCCCTGTGGCTTTGCTACACAAGCAGGAGAAAACGATATGCTATTAAAGCAAAGGCAGGAAACAGGGCAGTCCAAGGTGAACAAAGCAGAGAGGGGCTTGGCTTCAGCCCCTGAGCACAGAGTCCCCAAAGAGATACGTTTTTGTCAGAATATACTCCAGTCAATGATGAAGACAGGTCACAGATTCCTCAGCAACTGGGATGAGTGTACACTTAAGTCACTAAGACTATGTGAACATAGAGAGAGAAAAAACAAACAAGCCAAATTACAGAATAAATTACAAACTACCCATGGAGCCAAATTCTGAGAAGAAAGCAGTGTAGGATGGGCCCAGGGTAAACTTTACTGAAATCAATGGGCTGGTTGACTTAAAAACAACCCCAGAAACACACCACAGTACAAGGAAACATCCTACCCTTAGAAGGAGCTTTCTCTCAATCTTTACTTCCCAAACCTGCTAATATTATGTCCTCCTTTTTTTCTTCCTTCCTCCCTTTCTCCTTCCCTCCCTTCCTTTCATTTGTCATCTCCCTTCTACTTTCTATAATCAGGTATTCCAGACCGGGTTTCTGTAGTCAAACTGCCTAATGCAAATCCTGGACCTACCACTTACTAGCTGTGTGGCCCTGCCCCATCAGGCCTGTATCTTAGTACCCTCTTCTACAACAGAAGATCAAATCTGCTAAGCATTTAGTGCTGCTAAGCAGCATTTATTATGCTGCTTAATACATAGTCAGTACTCAACATGTAGCTATAATAGTATTACTCTTATATTTTATGTTTATGATCATTTTTACTAATCTACGGACCAAGTAGAAATCACATCCAGGGACTGGTTCTCACACCAGCAGGAAAGATATTTAAGAAGCTCCTTGGATGGGGCACAGAAGTTTCTGTTGCTCCAGTTTGTTTTTATTGCTTTGACCAGGGGTTCTCACCAGGACCCCAAATTCGCATTTCTAACAAGCTCCTAAGTGTTGCCTACGTTGATGGTCCAGGGCCATACTTTGAGAACCACCAGCTTAGACTACCCATCTAGTTCCTGAACTCCTCTCCCGCCAAATGTGCTAATGAGGGCATCAAGGTCATTCACTGTTTCGTTTGCCCTGATGCATTATGGGAGACATACGGCCGAATGCTTCCCTGGCTTCCAGCACTCTTGCTACCTTCCGTGCCTTATCATAGGGGTATGCCAGTTGTTGCCCACTGATGACATATAGCTGGTTTTGTACTTACAGTAGGGGAGCCTCCGGGGTCCAGGCCCATCTCATGCTCTGTCTCTTTACCTTGCTCTCTTGGGTTTCCTGTTCAGGGCTCTTTCCATAGGCTCTGTTACCGCCCAGTCCTGGAAATGCCACTCTTGATCATTGGTAACCACTTGAAATTCACTGTGGTTCACTGTGACACTGATGACAGCAAAGAGCTCACTGTATGGGTGATTTCCCCCCAGGGCATAGATCTCAACCCATCCTGATATCTTGACATAAATCCTTAAGTGACAGGCTGATCACAAGATCCTGACTATCGACTCAGCTTCTCAGAAAGGAGAAACCATGACAAAGCCAGCTCCAAACCTCACTGTTGTGAAGGAATACCATTGCCATGGCCTTCCAATAGAGTGTCATTCTGATAAAAGCCCTATGAACAGCACGGAGGGGGATAATTTGACATAACCTATTCTTAGTGAATTCATATTGAACCTTAGTGATCAAGTGAACCTTACTTTTCTAAGTGCTAACAAAACCTCCAATTAATAAAGCACTACAAAATTTTGCTGGGGTTTACTTTTGGCTACAGTTTAAATTTTGCTAGGGTTTCAAAAAGTTTGAGTTGCTTGAGTTGAAAGAGTGTTTTAAAATATCCATGATACCTTCCATACCAAAAAAGTTTTCACAGTCAAATAAATTTCACAATGCTCATTAGCATATTAAAGTTATCTGAAAGGACCACATGAAAGGGACTTAAGTTTGTTCAATTAGCAATTGAAAAAACTTACTTATGGAGTCCCAGGTTCTTTATTCATATAACATCCATTTACTTTCTTCTAATACATACATTTATTTACACAAAAATATTTATTACCAGGTGCTATTCTAGGAGCCAGAGATATAGTGATGAACAAGACAAAGTCCCTGACCCCACAGAGCTACATTCTAATGGGCAATGCAGAAACTAAATAAGTAATTAAATCAACATATGATTTAACTTCAGGTGGAGATAAGTGTCATGAAGGAAAACAGTGGGCAGAGCTAAAAATTCAGAATTGGGACACTTCACCATTTGTAGTTTGGGAAGAGAAGTAATAGGATTCAGGTTAAGGATACAGTGGGTAAGGTGGCAAATAAAGAAAGGGTAAGTTCAAAGTCTGACAAAAGAATTTCAAGAGGGGTATAATCAACAGCATCAATGCTATTGCAAGCTTGAGTTGGTTTCAGTGAAATCTGGGGGTACAAAAACAACTGCAAAACACATGAAAAAATGCTCAACATCATTAATCATTAATGAAATGCAAATCAAAACCACACTGAGATTATCACTTCATACTCACTAGGATGGCTATTAAAACACACACACACACACACACACACACACTCCCCCACAAGACAGTGACAAGTGTTGGTGAGGATGTAGAGATCAGAATCCTTGCACATTGCTGGTGGGAATGTAATATGGTACAGCTGCTCTGGAAAATGGTTTGGCAGTTCCTCAAAAAGTTAAACATATTTTAACTTTAAGTTACTATTGTTAGGCCACATTTAGGCCAGGAACAGAAATCTTCTTATCTTAAAAGCCTACTTGTCTTGCTTTGTACCTTATACCTGCTGGCTTGTATTTGCCTTAGGCCTGGAGAAGCCACCTGGAATGTAGAAACCACCATACCCTAAAAGCCATCTTGTCTTGCTTTGTACTTTGTACCTGCTAGTCTGTGTTTGTGTCCTAGGGGCTTATGATCAGTGGATCTGGGCAGTCCAGATGGTGGCCTGGGGGCCAGGATGTGGAACTGGAGGGCTTGGTCATGTCCGGGAAACCCTTTGTTGTGAGAGACAATGCAAGGAAGAAGCCCCTAAAGCATTGAAGGGGGAACAGCCTTGTGTACCTCTTCCTATAAAACTCCATACCCTTTTTTGCTCGGAGAGGTTATGGTCTTTTCTAGCCTGACCTCCTGCAGCTCAAACACACCAAATAAATTCTAATAGACCAATTTTGGACTCCCGCGACTCTTCTCCAGCCATGCCTAACAACTATGTGACCCAGAATTCCATCCTAAGTATGTACCCAAGACATATGAAAATATATGTAGACACAAAAACTTGTACATGGATATTTATAGCAGTATTATTTATAATAGCCAAACAAGGAAAATAATCCATATATTCATCAATAATGAACGGGAAAACAAGCTTTGGTGTAGCCAGACAATGGACTATGATTTGGCCATGAAAAGAAATGAAGTACTGCTAAGTGAAAGAATTATGCTATGTGAATTATGCTAATTTAAAGCAGCCAGACACAAAAGACCAGATATTCTCTGATTCCATTTATATGAAATGTCTGGAATAGGCAAATCCATAGACAGGAAGTGAATTTGCGGTGGCCAGCAGGGGAATGGGGTGTGACTACTAATGGGCACCAGGTTTCTTTTGAAGATGATGACTGTATTCTAGAATCAGACAGCGGTGATGGTTGTGCAATTTTGTGAATATACTAAAAAATATGAAATTGCACACTTAAAAAGAGTGAATTTATGGTATGTGAATTATATTTTAATTAAGCTATTATTTAAAAACACTGAAGTGGATTTAAGAGAGTGGAAGGTGAAGAATGGGAGATAAATAAGCACAGACAACTTTTCCAAGGTGTTCTGCAAAGAAGCCAATGGGAGTAGCTCCAGAGGAG